TACTTATTTATTTGTAGCAAATTGGATTCAGCGAGAAATTTTACGCCGGCCATTCAGTGATAAGCAGGCTGGTAATTACACCATGTTTATAAGAGGAGTATCGCGACTTGGTGTGATAACCACTGCAGACAAGGATAAGATGTTTCCTCGTACTCATCTCTGCAAGCTTCCAGACTGAATGATGTTCAGAGGTCACAATTAAGGTTCTTACGGGTGAGGGGGTGCGGGGTGGGGGTGGTGCTTAGGTCAATTTGTGCCGTTTATGTGCCCCTGGCCTTTCAGATCCCTTGCTCCATTAAAATATATTCTGTGGCCAATTATAAATCAATACTACTATAAAAAAAAATATCTGAAACAATCAGAGCTAACTGCTTATCATTGCAAAGAAATAGAACATGTTAGATCCTCTTTAATTGGAAACCAGTTTTCCCTTGTGATCGAGGCTTTACAAAGTACTGCCTAGGTGGGATAAGTGATGATATATCCTGTGGATTGACGCATTACTTTATGATCACAAACGCGAAAGATTGAGTTCATTTTTGACGTGTTTCGCATGTACATATACTTGGAAAATTTTTCAAGTAAATTCTCTCTGTCGAATTTGATTAAGGAAGTTTAGAATTATTCAAGTGCCAAACCAACCCCAAATACACAGAATAACATACAACCTTGAAACCAGTCCTGTTGAGCGCAAATTTATCGGAAAATGCTTCCTTGTCCTACCTTTAATTGGGACAAATTTTAAAATAAATGATGAACTATTTAGTGTTTTCCAAGAGAACATTTACAATATCTTGGTGTTTTCACATTGATTTTACTTTTCATATCCAATTGAACTATTTCATTTTGAAAAGCAACTGTAGTATATTGAATTTGATTTACAAGAGAGGATAAAGATGACAATGAAATCTGTTTATTCTATTTGAGTCTTTATTTTAAAACAAATATAAAAGAAACTAGACAAGCAAATAAATTTTATTTGAAGCAATGATACATATGTTGAGTAAAACTCGCCTTAGAAAATTTAAAAACAGAAAAAACAAAAAAAATCGGCGCATGCGTATTTTGGGTGTCTTTTGACGGGAAAATTCACCACTCTTGAACAGATGTTACTGACAGAAAAAAAAAAATAAAGAAAATCGGTGCATGCGTGCCATAAGCGCCTGCATTGTTTCTGTAAGTTTTTTGGCGGGAAAATTAAAATTTTTGAACAGCCCTCGAGCATGAGTTAAGCTGACAAAAAAAAATTGAATAAAATTCGCCTAGAGATTATTCTCTTAAAATCGCTTAACAACGTTTGCTTACGGTTAGGCTTCAAGTCCTCGATTTTGAATTCGCTGAGTTCTTGGGAGAAATGAGCTATGTAACATTTAATGTTGAATTAGGGGTCAGCGGTTGGCCAAGATGGCGGACGTGAAATTTACAGCTCCGTTCCAAATCCTTCTTCTTGGCTTATGTTTCGCCTATCTTTCATCAACAATGTATATGGATATTTCCTTAAGTGCTGATTTACCAGCTAGTTGCTATTATGGCTTGATTTCTGCTCCAAACCGTCCGATGAGCGCTGGATTTGTGGGCCTCCTCAAAACTCGCTGCCTTCGTCAGGTACTCAACACTTCCCACGAAAACAGAGGCAAGAAACTAGCCCGATCCTTTATTACCCTACTATTCCTATGTGGCGATATTGAGCCGAAGCCTGGACCTGTAAAATATCCATGTGGCAAGTGCTCCAAAGCCGTAAAGTCAAATCAGAAAGGAATACAATGTGACTTCTGCGATCATTGGTTTCATACTCGCTGTTTAAATATTGACAGTATAACCTACAATGCTCTTGCAAATACCTCATGTGTTTGGGGATGTCCAGAGTGGGGTTTACCAAACTATTCTACCTCTCTTTCAAGCTTAGCATCGGACATAAGTCGCCAAACCAATACTCGCCTCTTGGTACAGAAGTTCATCTATCGGAGTCACCTAGCTCCCCTGCAATCTCACTATCTTCATCGTCTCCACACTACTCTACACCCAAAAGGCCAAAATTGAAACCTAATACCAAGCTCAAATGCATGGAAATAAACTGTAATAGTATTCTGAACCCAGAAAGAGCAGCAATCTTCAAGGCTACAGTCGAACATCATGCTCCTGATGTCATTTTTGGGTGCGAATCTAAACTATCACCTGACACGCCAACCGGTGCCTGCTTCCCCCAAGGTTTACAATTTATCGTAAGGAACGAGAATTTGGAAGAGGTGGCGGTGTTTTCCTTGCTGTTGCAGATAATTTAACTTCTATAGGTCACCCAGAGTTCTGTACTGATGATAGCAACGAAAGTGTATGGGCCTCAATCAAATTACGTGGAAATAAACTCCTGCATTTGTGCTCTTTCTATAAACCACCAAGTGCCCCAGTATCACGCATTGATTATATCGCAGACAATCTTGCTAATCTTTACCAGAGAACAAGACGTAGCTGCCCGTCCGTTGTGGTCTATGGGGATTTTAATGTTGGTGACATATATTGGTCCACCGATCCACCTACGCTGTTGAATACTTCACCTTCAACAGCGGATGCTGAATACCTATTAAACTTCCTAGATGACTACTCTCTCACTCAGTCAGTGACACAAGCCTCTCGACCAGCTTCTGGTAAGACTCTTGACCTGGTCTTGTCTTCGGCACCTTCATTGGTGACAAATGTGCGGATTCATTCCGGCTTGAGCGACCATGATATAGTAATCTTTACAATCAACGCTAAACCATCTCGTGTAAACAAGCCGCCTCACAAGGTTCATCTTTACAACCGCATGAGCCTTGAGGGCTTTAAGGGTGCAGCTACAAGTATCAATCAGGAATTCTTCAATTCCAATCCAGATGCCCGTTCTGTAAATGGAAACTGGGTGATGTTTAAAACTTCTTTGGCTTCAGCTGTTGACACTTTTATTCCATGGAAGATGACCAAAGCTAAATCCTCCTTACCTTGGGTGACCAAGGCTATCAAACGCCAAATGAGAAAAAGGGATAAATTGCATTCACTAGCCACCCACTCGAACAACCCCCCGATTAAAGCATCATACAGAAAACAGCGCAATAAAGTTGTGGATATGCTTCGGTCATCACATTCAAACTATGTCAACAACGAGATTGGAGGGAGCTTGGACTCCAACCCAAAACGGTTTTGGAATTACGTCAAGTCTTGCAGATCTGAATCCATAGAAGTTCCAACACTTCAGAGCAGTAATAACCTCTATGTCTCCAGTAAAGATAAAGCGCAAGCCCTAAACAATCATTTTAAATCTGTATTCGTGGATGATGACGGTATCCTACCTGAAATTGGTTTATCTGATTATCTGCCAATTCCATATCTGTCATTTGATGTAAATGGTGTCAAGAAGCAAATTTGCAATTTAAATCCCAACAAAGCATGTGGCCCGGACAATCTGTCACCTCGTATACTGAAGTGATTAGCTAACGAATTGNAGCGCTGCACTAGTATCGCAGAGGTCAGTGGTTCGAATCCCGTACAGGCCTGAAATTTTTTTCAGGTCTGATTTCCACTATTGCTCAAATAGTGCTTTACTGCGAAGGATCGTTCTTATATACGTCTCATAACCGCAGTTCACTCATATGTTTCATATGTTTGTTGTTGTTCGATTTATCATCTACGGGTTTATATCGAATTAATTTGATGGCCTGCTCCCAGTTGGCTTGTTAGCTCAATTGGTAGAGCGCTGCACTAGTATCGCAGAGGTCAGTGGTTCGAATCCCGTACAGGCCTGAAATTTTTTTCAGGTCTGATTTCCACTATTGCTCAAATAGTGCTTTACTGCGAAGGATCGTTCTTATATACGTCTCATAACCGCAGTTCACTCATATGTTTCATATGTTTGTTGTTGTTCGATTTATCATCTACGGGTTTATATCGAATTAATTTGATGGCCTGCTCCCAGTTGGCTTGTTAGCTCAATTGGTAGAGCGCTGCACTAGTATCGCAGAGGTCAGTGGTTCGAATCCCGTACAGGCCTGAAATTTTTTTCAGGTCTGATTTCCACTATTGCTCAAATAGTGCTTTACTGCGAAGGATCGTTCTTATATACGTCTCATAACCGCAGTTCACTCATATGTTTCATATGTTTGTTGTTGTTCGATTTATCATCTACGGGTTTATATCGAATTAATTTGATGGCCTGCTCCCAGTTGGCTTGTTAGCTCAATTGGTAGAGCGCTGCACTAGTATCGCAGAGGTCAGTGGTTCGAATCCCGTACAGGCCTGAAATTTTTTTCAGGTCTGATTTCCACTATTGCTCAAATAGTGCTTTACTGCGAAGGATCGTTCTTATATACGTCTCATAACCGCAGTTCACTCATATGTTTCATATGTTTGTTACGTCACTACGGTATTCAAGGCCAAACTTTATTATGGATAAAGGGTTTCTTAAGCAACCGCTCCCAAAGTACCAGTGTAAATGGCGTACACTCTACCCCGAGCAAGGTTATCTCAGGTGTTCCACAAGGGTCTGTCTTAGGCCCCACGCTTTTCTTGATGTACATAAATGACATCGTGGGTGACATCAAGTCAAATATTAGGCTCTTTGCTGACGACACCATTATATACCGATAGGTTGTATCACCTGCGGATCATCTCATCCTTCAACAAGACCTTGACAGACTAACTTCATGGGCCTGTCTTTGACAGATGGAGTTTAATGTTAAGAAATGCTACCACATTTCCTTGACCAACAAGCGATCCGTTGACATACTACCATATTACATGCATAGTCAGGTCTTGGAACATGTAACTTCCTATGATTATCTGGGTGTTAGATTAACGAGCAAGCTAAATTGGAAAGAACACTGTGACAAAACTTCTAACAAAGCCAGTAGGGCTCTCGGGCTGGTCAAACGGACTTTACAACCGTGTACGCCCGAAGTCAAGGAAAGAGCCTAAAGAAGCAATTATTCCACCTCTACTAGAATATGCAAGCGCTGCCTGGAATCCACACACAAACAGGGACACTGAAATTATCGAAAAAGTCCAGCGACGGGCTGCTCGTTTCGTCGCACACAATTACAAGAGATCTACAAACTCACAAGATCTTGTAAATCAACTTGGTTGGGACTCCTTGGAATCCAGACATTTGCTGGCCCAAGTGACTCTTTATTATAAAATCAAAAATAATCTCATAGATCTTGAATTCCCACCTTCTATCCAACCAGCTCCTAGACCAAGGATCCAACATGCCATGCTCCAGCCCCACACAAGTGTTTTGGCGCACAGTTATTCTCCGTTTATACGAACTGTTCGGGTATGGAATAAACTGTCAACTCAAACAGTCCAAACTGAGAACATTACTTCTTTTAAATCATTAGCCATAAGGGACATTCAGAACATGAAGACCCCGAACCACCTGAAAATATTTTGAACTATTTACATTTATTGTTTCTTTTAGACTTCACATATTTATCGTTGATTATCAGCACTACAAATTAGTTATTCTATATCTCCCAGCGTTAGCCTAGCTATTTGGGAGTACAAGTTCCAAGTTCCAAGTGTACATACGAAACGTCAAGTCATAATCAAAATGTGAAAGTTCAATATGTTTATCACTGCTGCTTGTGTCTTATTTTTGATCAAAACTAGTGCCATTCCGTGCCAAGTGAAACCCATGAAAAACCCACTGAGCGTTAGCCCTAGTAAAGGGTATACGGGGTATATCGTGTGGTTCCCGTACCTTTTCCTTGGGCGAACGCTCAGTGAGCTTTTCATGGGTTTCACTTAGCACTTTAATTTACGCTTCAGAGTTAATTCTCTGTTCCATCATTTGTGCCATTCCGGTTTACTTTAGACACTTAATTAAAAATCGTTCTATAATAAACGACGATTTTAGTGCCTGAATATAAAAGTCAGTCAGAGGCACCACATTGCATTTAGCTTTGACAATCTCAGTGTCCCCAATCGGGGTACATAGGTAATAACTAAGTTAATACTCATAACAAAAATTGTAGATCACCGACCTCATTTTGACTATTGGAACTTCATTTTAAGAAAGCACGAAAGTACTCAACACGCTAAACCGTTGCTACGGTAATTTCGAAAGACAGAGGGACTGTCATGACACCAACATTGACCAGGTATAATTTTTTAAACCAGTGTGTTACAATCAACTAGTATAAACAAGAAGCATTGCTTCATCAAAGTGAAAGAACCAGGTCAAGTCGCTTTAATATTAATCATACGAAAGCATAAGAAAGCAGATATTGAGCAATATGAGCTATTTTTGTCTGGCGTTTCCTTTAATTTCAAATTTGTTAATTAATTTTGAATTTTAGATAATTGCTAAATCCAGGCTAAGCTATTTTGATAACATGGTAAGACCAGATTTACAACCTATTGCTTCTGGGTTTAAACAAATTACTGGAGTTAGAAAGAGAGGTGAATGCATAATTAAGTACGGGGTTTCGAAAGAAATATTGTCCACAACTCTACTGTACACCCATCTTTGGCTTTCTATTCGATTCAAACTTCTTAAAAAGCATTTTTTACACCCTGATGGAGCCCTAGATAAACTCTAAACTACAAAATGCTGCCGCTATGAAGGTATGGCGCGAAACGAACTCGAGGAAACAAAATTGCAAATGGCAAATGACATGTTTTGTTGTCTTTGTTTTACGTCACTCGTGAGCTTCAGAGGGTTTTTACCCCGAGGAGGAGCCACAACTTGGCTCCACGAAGGAAAAAAAATTCACACATCGAGCAACTTTCGAATATTAATTTTGCATAATATTATAATTAAAATAGTTTGGGATTGGTAACTTCTAGACAAAAGAAAACTCACGCTCTTTTTGAATGCACAAGAAACTTTTAAAGGGTAGGCTTTCTCGATCAATGAAAAAGGAGCGCTAGCGTAGGCGCTTGGTGCTTATTGAAACACTTTCCGCGCGAAAAGAAAGATTTCATCCTTCTGAATTTTGCTCCGTTGATGTCCACGTCAATCGCATGATTTTGATAACTGAACATATAACAAACACGTGAACTCAAAAAAAATAAATTCATATTTTAATTCAACACTTTAGTAACTACTATATATGTCATTCGTACTATAATTTACAAAAATCAGGTTTCGTAAGAAATAAATTGTTTCAAATCTAAATATCAATCTTAACAAATGGTGGCTACCACTTGAAACTTCTAGAATTCGCGGTCAACAAATTCTGTCGACAACCCATCAAGTGATGAGCTTTTGATCGACATATGACAAGTTCAGATGTATGGCTGCAGTGATCCGTTGCTTCCCTATGAGGACCGGATGATTCGGCTTGCGTAAGCCCAGCTGTAGAGACTTTAAGTCCCTCTTGACGGTCAAAAACGGAACTCATCTAAACGTCCTTCAGGCTTACGACTTAGATCTTGAGTTCCTATTGTTTCATTCTCGTACGAGCACTACACACTCGGTTGAGGTTAACCGCTGGTAGAATGGAGTTGATCTCGCTTCAGTGACGGCTTGGAACCTTATTGATTTTTCGGGATGACTGCTTCCCTCAACTGCATGCACGCAAGCAGAAGAAAAGTGCTTTGATCTTCAGGAAGCATTTGCACAGGTTCCAGTCGCAACAGCACATGCGCGGCTGATGGTGGGCCGCTGGCATGTGCCCCGCCTTCAGTGGTGGCGGGATTTGTTGATCCATGGATGGCACCGGATCTGCTGTAATGTGGGGCGCTCATCTGGATCTCGCGACAACATCCATGAAATCAAACTCCGGGCCTCTGAAAAAAAAAATAACGTCCCAATTAATCTGATGGGAAAATGCTGAAAATAATTTGCATCGTAGCGAATGAAACAACAAACTCGTTATTTGGGTCAGTATTTTGTCATTTAGTTCACAGAATTCTTTATAAATGGACTGCTGATTTTAATCTTATCAGACTCGACATACTGCCATATTCAAAGATAGTTTTGTCCTAACTATTTCCTTATTTCAAGATCGCTGATAATGACAAATAACAGAGGGCTATCATTGAAACACGATTTAAACCGACATTGTTTAAATACGCCTGAGGAATAATCCTCATTGCTTCAATTGCTAAGTATCTCCTGGGCCGGGTTGTTCAAAGCTGTGTTAAGATAACCCAGGGTTAGTGTGAGATTTGATTTCAGATCTGAAAGCTCTGAAAGAAAATTCAGCTTAATTCCATTTGTCTACAATTTGATGATTGAATGTCCTAAAAAGAACTAGGAAAATTATCCCAAAATGGCTTTTGATTAGAGAAATTTAGAAACCTGGATTAAAATTTAACCCTGGGTTAGAGCTAATCGGCCTTTGAACAACTGGGCCCTTATCCCCAAAAGTATCATTTTGTTTCAAAGTTCAAATTTCATACCATTTGAAACGAATTTTGGAATGGAAGGACGCATGTAAAGAGCCATACGTGGCTTGACATATGGCATCTCACCCGACAGCATCTCAGCCAATAGAAAACCTAGTTGCCAAACAGTAGCGTGGTTACCATAGAAATAACGATGAGAGTAGAACTCAGGGGGACAATAATGCTGAGTGCCTGGAAAGTGAATAGAAAAAGATAGAAATAAGTGAAAGTAGTTGACTGATAAAAGTACGTAAATGAATGGTTGGATAAAGAACATTTCGTCTCCTTTACTTAGCTACAGTCTAATGTTTGCAGTGTTTTGCACTCACGTTGATAAAACATCCTTTCATTTTTTTTTCTTACCACAGGCCAACCCAGCCCACCTTAGTTATCGTTAGCCTGCAAGGGGGGCTGGGATTGATAATTAGTGCCACACCCCCGGCCAACTTCTTCACGACTCTTTTCAAATCTTCCCACAGGTGGAGAAACGCGCGCATGTTCTGCATCGCTAACCACGAGGGCCTGCTCGCAGGCTAAGTTTTCGTGAACGAATCTTACGCGAAAGTGAGACCTGAGACTCGATGTGTCACTTACCTGCGAAGCGCCTGAAGGGTTGATCCTGTGCATCACAAGCGAGACCGAAATCAGTCAGCTTGGCCTCCATTTTGTTCATATCAATGATGATATTTTCTGGCTTGATGTCCTGGTGTAGCACACCTTGTTCTTCACATTGTATCGCCGCCTCCAGTATGTGAGTAAACAGCTCCCGACCTTCGTCTTCAATCAGGCCATCACAGGCGTCAATGTAGTCGAACAAGTCTGCAGAATCTTCAGGACGCTCGAGCACGAATACGAAGTTATCTTCGTTGGTGAAGATATCTAGTAATTGAATCACGTTCGGGTGCCGAACGTGGCGCTGAAAGTAAGCTTCGGCTGGGAACTGTTTTCCGTTTATCTGTTAGAGAGGAATGGGTCGGGAAAATTTTACAGGTTAATGCGAGTTACTTATTTTATGGGACGGAAATGAAAAGACTTTATAAATTAGTCAACCTACATAGCCTCTAATTTGATCAATACTTTCATTAATGAATTTTACTTTCTCCATAAAGGCAACTTAAGGGAAAAAATTCAGCCTTATTCGCTACGCCTGGCCACGGAGATCGGCGAAGGAGAATTTTCAAGTTGCACTGACCTCTCTATAATTCTTGACTCTGCTCTTGTTCACGAACTTGATAGCCACCTACAAGATTTAAGATGACAAATTAAAACCAATAATTTTGGTATCCCCATTGTGCTTTTCTCGTATCTTAAAATGTTCCGCCGCACAACAAATGTAGTTTTCGCTTAGGTTAAGAATTATTGTCTTTGATCACAAGGGTGGCGGTCTTACACTCCCTCCCCTCCCCTCTAGCTATACACCCCTGGTGGCTTACGGTGCAAGGTTAACTGTAATTACCGTCATTCAATGCCACACGATAGAAGGTGTAAACTAACGGTTTATCATTGCTTACCGGCAGGTTGTCTTTCTTTCGTCTGGCGGCAAAAACTTCTCCAAATCCGCCGGAGCCCAGAGGGTCCCCCATCTCATAAGCTGCAAGACCTTTAGGGCGAGGCTTGCGCTTTCCTGGAAAGTCATACAAAAGATCGATTACATCCGGGGACTTCCTGTCTAACAAGTTAAGATATGCAACTGTTCTCTTACTTTTCTTTGGTCTCATTATTTCCCCACTTCTGTTTTTAATTTCATACATGCAACTTCTCCTTTTCAATGCACCATATCGCGAAAACCATCGATAAGAAACGAAGAAACCACCTCATTAACCAATAAACATTTCCTTATCCTGAGCGAGACCCCATCTTGAATAAGACGACGCTGTGTTTGCTTTCAAATTACAGTGTTCATACCTCTTCGTGTCTTTTTGTGTCGAATCGGCTCCGGCTTGCAACTACTCGCTGATGTTTCAGTCTTGGTGATATGCTTCTCTTTTTTCTCGGTTTCAACTTTAGCTTTTTCCTACGAAGAGAAAAATAATAAAATTATCAGAATTCAGATATTTTATTTGAAATAACTTAAAGCCTGGTATCGTAAAGTTTTACTTGCGCGCTATTGCAAACGCTCTGTTTCAGCTAAACGCGTTCTGAACTCACACCGAACTGGAAAAAAACTTACAACTGATTGTGGAGTCGACAAGCAAATCTTCTTTCTTTTCGCAGTACAAAGTCTCTTCAAATCGGGCTCTGTCCAGGCTCTGTGGAGGAAAAAGGCAAATATCGTCATAAAGTTAAACTGCCTTTGGTTCAAAGCTAACAATGTTAAGTTATTAAAAAGATAAACTCTACCTTTTCCGGGGGTTTTCGGTTTTACTCTTTTCGATCAAGCTCGACTGCAAAATTCAAAAGGAAAGCAACTTTTATTAAAGGTGTATAGCTTTTAAAGCAGACTAGCATAAAAACAAGTCAAGGAAAAAAATAAAGCAGTTTTACTCTAAAGGATGAAGGCTGGTACTAACCCTAGAGTCTGCAAAAATTCTTCTGGTCTTTACCGGCTTACACGCGGTGGAATATTCATCTTTTCGCTGGCCACGCGATGATTGCGAGGGCTCGCAGGTGACAGAAAATTTTCTTTTTCTCCTTATTTCAGGATTCATGATACCTTTAAACTGAATATGTTCCAAACAAAATCACTGGACGCTTTTACTTCTCCTCGAAGACTATAGCCTTGAAATCCTCTTAGAGCAAAAACTGGTTGTGATGTCGTCATATTTTCCATTATGATGTTTACGCGCGTGTACTGCACGCGCTTTAGAACGCGCGCTAACGGTTCTAAAGTTGACGTGAGTGTTTTATTCCCCCAAGAAATTTGAAACGGCATCACTGAACAAATTTAATACAAAGTAGACGTATTTCTCTGTGATAATTTCTAGGAACGTTTTCAAAGTTGAGCTTGGGTTCCAACTGAATAAAATTTTTAAACATTTGTCACTTGCATTGGCCATAACAGGAAGCGCTGCGTGACATACTAAAGAACGACTGCGAAGGAGACTAAGCGAAGGGGTTTAGTCACTAAACTTAGGTAAGATTAAAAGCTTGAGTTGGTTAGGTGCCATGATCGTAAGTCATCAATATGGCGAAAACGATAACTTCCAGAATGACAACTAGGTGAAACTGAAATGTACCCATATTTCTCAAGAAAAAAAGTCAATCAAAATTTGCCAAGAAAATCACAGCATGGTTGCACCACAAATAATCTCCTGAAATAAACAATATCTCTTCTACTGAATATTCCTTATTCCGCAAAGAACCATTAAACAATTAATGACAACCATGCCATCTCAAAAATCATGAGGAATCCCCTCCTAATTACGTCACGTCATAAGCTAACCTTAAACCCTCTGAAATCCGGATTTGGTTCTATAAATATTTCCATAAGCCGTAATTTAAATTAATTTTAATTGAGAGGAATTTGTTTAACGACCTCGTGATAAGTTTTTTTAACCTCATAGAATTATCCAAATCTAATGCTCTCCTCAAAAGAACAGAGAGTGCAAAAGAACCAAGAGCGGAAACAAGTACTAAGACCATTTCCTGTTTATTTTCTCTTAGATATGCGAGGAAGTGGTTCCTGTGTGTTTAATGATTCCATCAGTTCCCTCTGCAGCATAGTTCCTGTTTAACGTGGTTAAGACATCAACAATCAGCAATAAAATGACACAGAGTACGACAAGGAATTCTTGAATTGTAAGCGGCGTGACTTTCTGGTTTATTTCAGAAGATGATCAACAATTATAACTGTGGGAATAACTTAGGAAGGCGGATCTTTATCTGTTTTGGTCATACCAGTCATTGTGAATTGATTGATAGAAAAACTTGCAGTAAAGAGGGGCTCTAATATCCACAAAAACTCAAACTGAGACGAATCGAGAGAAAGTAATGGGATCATCATGTTGTTTTCTTTTGTTTTACAAAAGCTCTTGTCTTTGAGACAAGACCAAACAAAACAAATAGAGGGTTGTGACATTTGCTCAGTGGTGGTTTGTCAGATGTATCCTCGTAAATCATGATTGCTTTTAAAAATGCAGTTTTACTGACTAGGTCACAAAATATCCATACATTTCAGCTGCCAATTGTACTCAGTATAACTTTGGAGTCTACGGCACTTTTCCTATTGTGCTATGAGATGTTCACCATTAAATAGTACACGGTCGTGTTATAATGCTTTGAGATGACAAAATGAGTGATAAAGACCCCAAAGGGATTTATATTTTTGACGAGAGAAGGATCTTTAATACGTTGTTATATTAAATAGATGTTTCTAAATTTGTCTATTGCACAGTAGGAAAAGTGCCGTAGATCGATAACAAAACGCCTGATGATTGAATTGTCAAATTTCTTTGTTTAAGTCGTTAATGCTTACTTAGAACTTTTTTCTTTAAAGTGAAATCGTACAGATTATTAATTGTAATCGTGGTTATCCGAAGAATCTTCTTATGACAGCAAAGCCGGAATAAACCTTCTGCTGGGCTTAACTACTTTCTCTCCATCAAACAGAGACATCCCGAAGACTTGTAAAGCTTCAAGACCTCATCCTGCAAAACATATATTTTGAAAACATCTTTAAATTTTTTGACATTTCATGAATTAAAATAGGGGGTAAGTTTAGTGGTGCTGCGTCAGCGGGGTCGTATAACAAGACAATTAATTTTTTGTCAACTGAGTTTATAAAGTAAATTGGCCCCCGCAAAGAAATTAAACTCTTTACGGTCAGTTGATAAACCTAATAAACACTTTATAAATTTGATGACTTAAGAGCCTTTTAACTTTCATTAAATACCAGCCGAAGACTCGTAAAGCTACAAGACCACATCCTGCAAAAGTTATATTTTAGAAAAGATCTTTAAATTTTCCAACATTTTATAAATTTATAGAGGGGGTTAGTTTAGTGGTGCTGCGTCGGTGGGGTCGTATAACAAGACAATTAGGTTTTTGTCAACTGAGTTGATAAAGTGAATTGGCCACCGCAAAGAGTTTTAAATAATTTAAACTCTTTATAGCCAGTTGATAAAACCTGATTTATATCATTTGAAAAAATTGATGACTTGGAGCCTTTTAACTTTCATTACAGCGTAACGACGCTGTTGTTTTCTATATCGCAATATTCAGGAAGCAAACAGATTGATTCGTCTCTGCCAGCCAGCCTTTTAGAAGGAAATCATTTGGACCGTCATGCTTCAAATTCAGGAATTTTTTAGCATACTCTGTGTGATTGTGTTATTAATGATCTCGTTTTTCGTGATCAAAATGGAACGAACTTTGCCCACGAGGGAACTGGCAGAGAGCAATGAACTTCGTGGATCTGTAAGAAGATGGCAGTTGAACAGAAACGGAGAGAGAATATGGGTGGGAGAGAGTGAAAACCACAGTTTCCCACCAAAGAGAAATTTTCCTACTGAACACGATGAACGGTACGTTTGAGTACTGGCTGCTCAAAATCTCTCTATGCGTGACAAAGCTTTCCCAAATCAGTTCAAATTAGCTAGGACTAGCTAAGGTTGTAAAATAAACATTCTTCTCACTAAAACTTGCTCGTTCTCTAACAGTCGCCAACACTCTGTAGGAAAAATCTTGGTTATACAGTTTTGTTTCTTTTTTCCTGCTCAGATCCTGAAAAGACGAAGAATTTGAAAGAACGTTGGTAGTGGACATTCTGAGCGGCCGGAACTTACTTAGTGTAACTCAAACTTTTCTCTAATCTCTTTTAATTGTTATTTTATTTACCGTAGTTGTTATACGGCGTCAGAGGATTAAAATTTTCAGTTAATCGATCCATAACTAGACAAACAGAAGAAACAGAGACAAGCAGAGCTAGGTTTTCCAATAATTTGAGTATAATCATTGTAAATTTGCTTACATCGCTGTTAGATACATCGAGGCTTATAACTATGTGAAGTTCTCCTTTAGTTTTTTTTTTTTTTTAATGATACCCACTGTACTCATTTAATGTTAGAAATGAGCTCTATTGTTTTCGCTATTTTGTTATTCCCGCTCAACAAAGATAAGGCGATCCACATTGTACAAGTTATTTTTTAACAATTCTTTACTTTTCGTTTCTGTAAGGGCCCCCTGTGGAATTTCTCTTATTTTGCGGTAACATGGCTGAGCATAAGTGAGTAATTTATAATGGTAATAGGACCGAGTGATTAACGCTCCTGTTACCACTTAATCAAAACAAACCATCTAACTTCAGAAAAGCCTCGCTTACATGCATTAATTATATAAGTCGATAATAAATGAACACGCGCTCGGTATTTTCGTTATTACGGATACCTTCGAATTAAAGCAAAGCCTTATTCAACAACATCCTAATTTATGTACTTTGCAGCATAAGTCCGGGAAATACGGTTCACCTATTTTTTTTGTTTTTTTGGCCGACACTCCAATATTCCAGCGAACCATGTGCGTCTGCAACTTCGACTCAGTCACGCGTCACGTGACGAACTACGTGCAAACTAAATACTACGTACGAATTAAATTCCATTTCAAGAATACAAAAGTCACCAAAGCAACTACGGATAAGTATCACATTGATTTGTGTAGGATTAAATCGATTTATCATCAAACGCATAAGAGTGAGTGTTCACAGGTCGTTTTCTTGGAATGCAGAAGTGCGTCATTAACCGTAACCATGGTAATGTAATGTAATGTGTAATGTAATGTAAAACTTTATTTATACACGGAGAATCATCAGTTAAGCTAAAGGTACAAACTAAAACTAAGACAACTGTTTTACATGATTGCCGTGTGGGAATCCGATATCTCAGATACCTTCTTTATACCCCGTTTAAACTGCCCACTAGAACCAACACCTTTCAAATTTTGGGGCAAGTTATTCCACATACAAGCCCCGCTTAACTTGGTAACTATGGTGCGCCTGAAGGCAGGTGCTACAGATAAAATATATAAAAGAGTCCCTCTGTCATTTTCTTGGAAAGCAGAAGTGCGTCACTACTCGAAAATCAATTTACCGTAACCATTGTGCCCCTGAAGGTATAAGTTATACGCATGAGTGATAACTGTATACCATTAGATACAAAATGCAACTCAGTGATGTCGGGTAGCAGAATTATGTGGGTTTTTTGGTTCATGTTAATTGTGATCCTTATTATTTCCAAAGTTAAGTAAATATGTACTTCTTCTATTTGTGATTTGCAAAAAATATCTTGACATTATCTCGTCCTAGCAAAGATTTACCGAAATAAGTTTCAAGGTGACCGCTGCGCTTGAGGACGTCGGCACTCAAGAAATACATACATACATACATACATACAGACAGACAGACAGACAGACATACATACATACATACATACATACATACATACATACTTTGACAGTCCAACAACTTCCATTCAAATATCAAACTTTTCATGTGCCAAATATGACACATGAAATTAGAGTAATTTGTCTTTGTGTTCCACAACTTTGTTCTCACTCTAATGTGTTGGACAAATTGTGTTTTATATCCTAAGCAAGCATCAAACTGGATTATTTGAATCAACCCTTTTAAATTACAGTCGAACCTGTGTTAAGCGACACCTTATTAAGTGGTCGTTGCTTATTATGGTCGGTTGTCCGGAATTTTTTCCCCTTTAGCGATATGATTTTCGCCTCTTATTAGCGGCCGTCTCTATTTAGCGGTCGGGGTCACCATAGACTGAGTTTGAACGACCCGTACCTTTTGTCTACCGCGTGTATTCAAGACGGTCACTTATCGTGGAACTACTCAAATGAGATTAAGAAAAATCTATCAAGAAAAAGTGGATCCATTCTTATCTACCGAAATCAATGTCAGTCGTATTCTTGAGCGAGTTATTGTTTATCGAACAGCAGGTATATAACCCTTTTCTGTAGAACCTGTAGTAGGGGCGCGGTCAGCCTGCGTTAAGCGATTACCCTGCCATTCCCCGTCGGTGACCGTTTGATACAGGTTCGACTGTATGATTTACCTGTGTAAGCGGGCTAATCTCGCCTTGCCAATGAGTGTGCAATCCATTGAGGCGAAATTGAACTCTGCCATGGCAACAGAATCACCAAATTTGTCAGCCTCGTCGTTTGAATTTTCTCTGTAGCTGGCAGCTAAGAAAACAGACCCTTATTGCCATTTATCAATATCTTAATAAAACAATTGATATTTGACCCCACCGGGTACCAGCTGAGGGGATTTCTTGAATCTGGCCTCTGGGGACGGTTACCAAGTTGAGATTAATCTCATTGGTGTTTTCAAATTGCCTGTGTCCCTTAGCTAAGTCTGACGCCCGACAATTTTGGAAATCGTTATCATGATTAGGATACACCGGGCCTTCACTGTCTGTGCTGATTTTAAAGCTGAACGATTGGACCGGAGGGCGCCGAAGCACCAACTGCAGAGAAATGTATTTACGTAACCCTTTCTTTGGGGGATTGCATGGTATGTTGTCACAATTGCTTCATTAGCGGTAGGCTATATATTCGAGCTGATGTCATTTATATTCATTCGCGTCTTACGACCGTTTTTACGCCCTCAAAATTCAATACCTAGTGACTAGGGATTGTCAGTTTCTCTTAGAATTAGTTTTTGCATATACGAACATAGTTTAGATTGTTTTGTAGGGTAGTTTTTCTAGCTTTATTTTTTAAATTTCCGAGTCTTCATTCCATTGATGTACCATTCCTATCAATTTTGTTGATGAAGGTATAATAAGGAGGGTCGCATACGGCTCGTGTTGACACACTCCAATTATGGTTACTTATTAAATGATAGATGTTTAAAATTCGTTTGAGCGGGGTAGCGAAGTAGAATAGAACTGGCTTGAGACAATAGAGGCTGCCACGGAAGCTGGAAAAGAATCTGTGGGTTGGGGTGTTAAAGAGCGAGCATCCGAGATAGTTGGTCCCCTGTGTAGTGTCGTTACCTAATACGGTCATACGCTAGGGTCCGGATGTTAACGCAAGAGGCGAGCTAGGGAAGAGAGTGTAGATATATAGTAGTGAGAGCATGAATTAAAGGAGCGTTCGAGTGGAGCACTCGCCTGTATTCAAAGCCACTTGCCCTCCATTACACCCTGTGTGCTGTGGGCACAAGCGCGAAAGATTTTGTTTTAAATCAGGGGCTACCAAAATATGGGTGCAAATAGACAATAGCCTCTATTTGGTGCGAAAATATGAGGTGACATTTGTGCCCGGACATTATCTGTTCGAAGATGCGAACAGTTTTCCAAGAGCGAAGCTATATTGGCTATTTAGGTCAACAGCGTCGACCTGGTGCACCAAATTAATTCCTTCTTAAGACTAGAGTATGGCAAGTGGTACAGGGACTTGTTTAGAATGGATAGCAAACCACTTTTCTACGGCAAACTCCCCTCGCATGCTATCGTTTCAAACATGGCGCTACTTCATACATCAGAAAATAGTCGATCACAAAAAAATGAACGGAAATTTGCCGTTTGCTGCGCATCACAACACGAAGGCTATGTCTACACTATACTGGATAGCTCGTGCGCCGACACAAAAACTATATCGGATAGGGCTTCTATTCACAAAGGCAACGCTGATTTCGGCGCGGTTATTACAACGGAGCGACGCTGCGCCGCTTCGATCTTGAAAGTGAATCGTCACGTATCGGATAGGTTTTCGTACCACTCTTTGCCATCGTGTGAACAGGTTCCGGACCGCAGCGAAGTAAAAAAACTCCGAGGGAGGATTGGATTCCACAATAAGGCGGCCTTGCCACTTATGTTGATTTCTGTTATCTCGAACGCTGTACTCAATTTACATGCTGTATCATGAATTTGACTGCTTTGAATCACCGGAAAAGACGACGGAAACGACTTCAACTTTTGCAGATCCTCAAGGATTTAAGAAAGAGAACTAACGGAAGGAGGTTTCCTCGTGCAAGATTATTTTGGGTCAGGCCCGGAAGATGTAATGAATCGTGGGACAACTTTATTACCCAAAGAGTGACTGCAGAAGAATGGAAGGAAAATTTCCGTATGAACCGTGAGACATTTCTGAGGTTGTATGACGACCTGAGGCCTAGTTTAGAAGGACAAGCTACAAGGATGCGAATGCCATCATCGGTCGAAAAACAAGTTGCTGTCACCCTCTATGATTATCTTGCAGATGAAGGGCGTATGAGAAAGGTAGCCAATCCTTTGGCATTGGTAAATAAACTGTTTCAAAGGTGGTGAGACGTATCACCATGGTTATTTCTAGGTTGCTTGGTCCGCAGTATATTAAACATCCGCAGACAATAGAAGAAGTTCAAGAAATGGCCACGCACTTCCAGGAAAGACATGGATTTCCCCAATGTCTTGGAGCAATCGATGGCACACATATAGGGATCAAGGGAAAATACACCGCTGTACAGTATAATTCAATTGGCCCCAAGCCCTCTTCGTCCCGTATGCTTCAGTGCAATCCGTTCGCCCGTGTGAACGACTTGTTTCAATTTTGGGCCGTTTCTGTTCATACTATGCCGCAGTGTTTTTCATGTCGACACGAAAAGCGGTTCGGTATAGTGTAGACATAGCCTAAAGGCGTCTTAAAAAGCGTTCTGTTTATGAGAACAAACACTGGCATATGGAGAGGGTAGTTTCGAGACGTTTCCGAACCATATCAAAATATCAAAAACCACCCTGCTGGCACTTCTTTTTAAAAGAAATATCGAAGTCAAAAGATTATGGTGGAAGAAATCTTTATTTTCTGTTCTGACAACACCAAGCTCTGGTGTACTTATACGAATACTGTGCCTTGCATTTGGAGGCAATAAATATCCTTTATCATATGACCCGTACGGCCCCGCTCACGCAATGCTTTAGAAAACCATAATGAAAGCTGACTTGTGTACATGTAGGACTGGACGGGTTGACGGGAGATTCTGAGAACGTGAACTCTAGCTGTGGACTTAAATCTAAAAGAAAATGGAACTGGAAAAAAGTCGCGTTCTTCGATGAGTGAAGTTTTTCGCGTTCTACTCGAGATACAGAGGAAAAGATCGTTTGTAGAAGCTCGTACTCGTCTTGCGCGCGCATTCTTATCGTGTCCTATTAAGGTTCAAACATAATTTCAACCTAGTGGTCACACGACAATTAATAGGTGCCCTCTAGGCAATATATATATCATTTCTCGTATCTGTTACTTTACTCATGTTTCACCATAGTGTACGGCGACTTCACGGGCATTGTCTCGGCCAGCCAAAATAAATTCAGTCTCTTTCACGTCATAGAGACAAGGATGACATCGCTATATGTAATCCTACTTGCGACATCTTTTTATATGTTACTGAACAAAATATCAAGTATCACCTAAATCAATTACATTATGACAGCTTAACTGTATTGCAAACAAGTGACTTCCAACTGCATAACATTCAGTGCGTGAAATTTCCGCGTTTTAACAATTCCAAATAATCAAAATTTAAATTTATGTCACATGACTGAATATTTTCAGAATTAATGAAATTGTCGCCCTTAACCATGAAGAAAAATTTTATCTATGAAAGTATCCAAAACTAGCCATTGTACAAAGTAAGTAAAAAAGGGGCTGATAATTGTAAAAAGATAAATGTACAAGTTCTTCACAAATTATACTCAAACAATTACAAAATGCAAAGGTGTTTGAAAAAAGAGAAACAATAAAACAAAAAGTAAATTTCCACAACTATAATCATTTGACCCATTTACCATCAAAGGTTATTAGATGAAAGAAGCGAGGTTGAAATTGTATTTCCTTAAATTGTACTTTTTAAATCTAAAAAGAATTTTGAAAAAATGTTTCGTAGGTGTAGTTGCCTTTTAAGAGTTGTACGGCAAGTTTTATATTTTTACAGACTTGCAAGTCTTTTAAATATTAAACAGGAGCTTTCATTTGAATAACAACGAGATTACACGACTCAAGCAGATCCTGGGAGTTAGTAATTCACCACAGGAGGTGTTCATTTATCAATTCAGTGACGGCGAGCTATTAGGATTTCTTCACATACTTGTATCCAACCAATCGTAGTCCTTCCTAGGCAGTGGTACGGAATTCTTCACCTTAGCTTTAGCTCGCTGTTTTGGATCGTTGGAAACTTGGGTCTAGGAAGCATCAAACAAATTTGATGAAACAATTGGTAAACACATACATGAATTACTAGGTAAAAATATCTTGAAGATAATTGCTTGATACTGGCAATTTGTAAATCAGTCGGTTCCAATCTAAAAATACAGGACATTAAATACGACAAAATGTACAGAGTACAACGCAATACTCTCTCTGAGAAGACTAAGGTTAAACTTTTATTTATTAACTTTCATTATTTTCGATAACTTGAAAAAAAGACGCCACATAATTATATATACCTGTTGGTGATCTTCATGCTTCCGCAGTCTCATGATCAGCGCTCTCTCCCCACTACTACCCACGCTCTGTGAGTACAGCTTCTGCGCGGCAAGCCTCTGTTTCGGGGTGAGCATGCGCTCTACGGCAAGTACAATACGAGCCCACTGAGAGAAAAACAAAATCTCTTTTCATATACAATGAATTTGCTAGAGTGCTTTTCGATTGAGTGTCTTAAAACCAAAGTGATCACAACAGCCAATCACAGCACGGAAATTATCAGCAGGAGCCAATGATAACTTGGCGTAAAAAAACCCGGGAAAACGCGGGTGACACAGTCGCGATGGGTTTTAGTTTTGAATCTGAATGGTTGAGAAAGTTTTTGAAGTTTTCTGGACCAATCGTATAACGAAATAAAGCCAAGCTAAAGCAATCCCGGATTACTTCTGAGACTCAATTGTAAATTTCTCTAAAAAAAAAAGAGAAATGTGTGAAAGTTATCTTCTTTTACCTGTCGTGTCCATTCCTTCTCGGTTTCTGCAACCTTGAGGTACGTGTTTCCCATCATAGCAATCAACATATTCACAATCAACAGGGCTCCGAGGATCATAAACAGGAAAAACACGATCTGCAGGAAAGGATCAAGTAAGTAACCGGTTTACGAGTGCAAAACATTAGTACCAGAAAGCAATAGTTATAACCGCAAGAAGCCACTGAAACTCAAAACAAATTCATGACACAACCTTCAAACAATGGGAAATTGTGAACATCTCGGCTGCCGAAGGTTTAAGTTTTGCATCTCATTTATCAAGGGAGTTTTGCGAAAGTTCTCCTGTACAAAATAACTAATGAAACCCTAGATCATTTCTGCCCTTTGATTGAACATTCCTAGAAGAATTAATCCTCATATCAATGAATAAGGATGGAGGTTTCTTACCAAACCCAGAATCTTAACTGGCGAGTTACTGTGTGCCACCTGTTCATACAACTCCTGAAATTGAAATTAAAATTGTGAGACTATGTGTTATATTATAGTGATGAGTTGACACAGTTCAATTGGGTAGAAATGAAAAAGGTGGGCATGGGAATTAATTTTTTACAAGCGAACGATGATTAATAAAATATACTGAAAATTGGTGAATTACTGGAAAGAGTGCAGAGCAAGGGATTGAAAAAGAAAAATATTATCTCAAAGCAAATTCACATTATTCAATGACAAGGACTTCAAGGAAAGGAAGAAATTTCCAACATTTTATCTTCATGTACCAGCTACAAGCTGCTCCAGCTACATCTTAAAGTACAGAATTACAGAAAAGCTTTAAAGAGTTTCTAATGTGCCTGTTTAGAGTCCCAACTTGTGTACAAAAAGGTCTTACAGCAGTTTTCAAATGAGTTTCAAATAACCAGAACCACAGTAATTAAAACAGCCAACTGGAGTGAGAGTTGATATCATCATTAGCCAATAAGAACTCCAAGTAAAAACAGGCAAACTGCATGAAATGCAAGTGAAAACAGCTCTCAGTTATTTCATTCACTACTGTCTTTTCCCACATGTTTTGCCGACTTGTCCCAATCATAACACATGTTTAACCACAATTCAGAGCAAACCTCATATTCTCCTAATGAAAGTATAATGAGTCCAAGGCCAGCAGAGAACCAGCGTGTAAAAAGATTTTCCTGGATGGATTTGTCATCATACCCAAGTGTCACCAGAAACATGGCTTAAAAAAAAAAACGAAAAAATTGTAAACAATAACAAATCAATACCAAAACTTTCTCACAAAGCAGCCAACAAAAAAATTGACAAAACATCCACAGTAATGAGGTTGCAGAATTATTTTACACTGCCATTACACAGTAACTGTGCAAGTATGTAATTGTAATTTTCATTTACTTGCCTTCACAATCAGTCAGATTCAAGACAAATCATACAAAGTAACGTCAATTATGATTTATTAATTGTTCAAATACTATCTTTCCATAATGTAAAATGGTGACCGTCATATTTACAGTATCTAAAATTCAGAGATCCCGCTTACTGAACTCAATGATGGAGACTATTCTAGAGGAAAGCACAGCTGTGGAAGAAACTTTTAGGAACTAGATAATTGCCTCATGGCAATTAGATGGCTTAAGTTTATTTGCAGAATCTCAGAAAGTACATTATGCCACTGAAGCTTACAATTAAAGTGAATCACGTCATAACAAACAAATATTGCTCACCTTGAGAAAATCCAATGACAAAAATCATATAAATGATGAAGAAAATGATAAAGTCTCTTCTTAACATCTGATAAATCATAACCACAAATGGCCCGACAAGAGCAAATCCCCTGAAACACAAAATAACAGTCTGTCACAATAGCCATACAGTCTTACCTACATACCTACATCATCAAATGGAAAACGTTTCTGTTCAAGAATGGATTCTACTTGAGAGAAAAGACAGAAATATAGCAAGAGCAGGCTTTAACCCTTTACATTCCAACATCAGTATGCAGATTCTCCTTACTGTTCTCTATACAAGTCATGTCCTATTGTACTTACAAGGAGAATTTTTCTAACAATTAAGAGCTTCCTGAATGAATGAGTTCAGGATCATTTTGTTTATTCTCATGGCCTTAATGTTTGATTCAGATCAGCTACTTTTAAGAGAAATTTGATGCTTCTCGCTCTGTGAGGTTAAAATGTTCTTGTCCCACCTGCAGAAAGTGAGAGAGTAAGGCCAGGCCAGCACAAGAGCTGCAATAACCAGGTGATCCTCATGATGAGATTTACATGTGAAGCGTGCTGCCAAGCAGGTTAGTAATAACACACATGATAAGACCAGCAGGAGGCGCAGAGGGTTGTGAACCTGAACAGAGTATATTGCCAAGTCAAACAGGGTCAATCAAATAAAATTGCTACATAACTACAAATTAAAATAATTCCCATTATCACTTTGATCAGATCCCCACTGCCCCTTCCCTGGCCCAAAGGAGCCTGTACAACTCTGTAACAAAAGTGGGCAATGTAATGTAAATAATTGGTGAGGTACAGTAGCATGATCAAAATTTATTGGAGAGAGATTATTAACTGTTCTTCCTTGTAAGAATTTTGAAAGAAATGACAAGTGAAAATCAAAATGTGAAAAGACAGATCTTTTCCATATATAAAGTCATCAAAGAGAGGATTTTCATACCATTGTTGAGATTATAAAGTGACAGTGGTAATTAACACGCCTCTTACCAAGTCAAAGACAACAGGCTTGAGTCCCTCCTGAAAAATTACCTCTCGAATGACAAGAAGAATGTAGATAAATGCAAACAACAGCGTTAGGATTTCAAAAGCAGCTCGAACCTGTTGGAAATAAGCTTAATTATTATTCTGTTTCAGTAAAAACACTGCTTGAGTACATCTCCTACCATCATTATGTAAATGGTTACTTCTACATTACCCGCTACTGTTCCTTTAAAAAAAAAAAACATCAGAACTTTGTCTAACACAATCTGCTATTTCTCGATAAAGAATTAAGCTCCCTATCCCCAGTTAGCACCTCATTTCCAAATAAGCACCCTCCCTAGAGGTGCCATAAGTAAATAAGCCCTTTGGGGCTAAATCAACTCATTATGGTAAGACGTGTTCAAATTTAAAGACGTACATTTGCAGTTACTGTCAATGGTGAGATTTTGCTTACAAGCCCCTTTGTCTAGACAACACTGTTATGAAAACAAAAGAAGCAACAAATACAACAAACGAGAAAAAAAGGGGTGGGGTCAAAGTTGAGAAAAAATGTTCACCCACAAAAATCCTGCTGAGTAATAACAAATATGAGATGCCTTTTAACATTAGGCTTTCAAAGGCATTATTTTTGTTACTAAATTGAAGCAATATATAGTTTTTAAAATAAATTATTTTTGTAATGTAGGGGTCTTTGAGAATGAAAAATCAGGCCCTAGGGAAGGTACTGTGCAATCAAAGTCCAGTTTGTAATATGAAAACATTGTTACTGCCAGAATTTATGTGAACAATGACAAGAAAGAAATTGAGCAAACATTCCAGGACTCTGTCTCCATTCTTAAGTACTGTTCCAAAGAGTTGCTCACAATGACTTCACACCATGAACAAAAAAAGGACAAAAAAGATTTGATGCAATATGTTCTGGTGTACAAAAACCACAAACCTGTTGAGTGCTGTCATTCTTAATTGCGTTGAGGAGAAAACACGGATCACAACTTGAAGTATTTGAAATCTCTAAGGTTAAGGAGGAGTTGATGGACATAGAGCTGCTGTTTTTAGCATGGTCATCACAATTCAGGTCCTAAAATGTACCATAAAAATCATCATTTGATATTTTTGATCATCAAACATAAAAAGAAGACACACGTTACATACACGAGGCAAAAGGAGAAGGAGTGACCAGCATCTAATTTTTCCTTACAGTACTACTGCTGAGTCATTTATTACGATCAAGAGAAATTATAAAGGAAACGATCGCCAACCTAAGAAGCTTTGATTGTTAAATCAATTCTCTTTGTCAGTACCAAAGGAAATGTACAGAGAAAAGAATGGGTAGGTGTAAAGTGTCCAACAAGGAAATGTTAAAAAAATGGGTGGAACTTACATCAAGGGGTCGAAGGAGAACAGCAACACTTAGAGTGATGAGGAAGATGACGTACAGAGCCAAAAGCCAATAAAATCTGGAAAGATAATAAAGAAATAATCAATAAAAACAATTAAATGAAATTTAAACATATTTTAAAGAATGATAATTTAATGAGAAATTAGAACAAGTTTACAATTTATCCTGTGGAGTAGAGTTTACAAAGATTTCATGATTTGATGGAGTTGTGTAAAGGGAAGTGAATATTGTTTAACCTTGAGAGCTTTCAAAGGAAGTGTTGTTTGACTTATTTTATAAGTCAAACAACAAGTATAAGTATATTTTCTCTCACAGTTTCTCTTCACCCAAGATCAATTCCAACAATATTTCAGAGAAACCTAACAAAATACAGGTGGATAACCTGTGATGGATTAGCAAGGAGCAATACTGTATTTACCCGTAGATACATGTACATGCAGGCTGTACCCACATATAGGCTGCATCTCAAACTTTTGATTAACATTGATGGAAAAAATGATTTAGTGAATTTCAATTTGAAATTGCATAATTATATGTAGCTGTCACAATGAAACACATTACCAAAAAAAAATTGTAAAATTTACAGAGTTGGCTTAAAGTAAAAGAACAAGAGGTACCAGTGACCTTCACTTGGGCTTCCCTCTATCATAGAGTTTGTTACTAAACAGACTAACACAGTCATGAGTAGTGGAGTAACAAAAAAAAAAACTGACAGTACTATGCCCTTCCGTGACTTTTTGGAATCTCTCCAAGTGACAAAAAAACACTTCTGATTTACCTAGATAGGTTCTTTCCACTGCTCCTCACCCTTAATGTGCTAATTTTCATCTTAAAACTTCTACTTAGAGTTTATTCCAAGCATCGTTGAGCAAAAAACTTGGAGTTTAGGCCCAATTAAACCCAACACTATTTGGAATTGTTTTGCTTGTCTACCATCTGATTTGTAACACAAGCCATGGGAACAGTGAAACATCATTGGCTGCTTGATTTAATTCAATTGTCTTATCTCAACTTTAGCAGCTGGATCTATCCGTCTGATTAATTCTTTTTAACACTTCAATGGATGAGGAGAATTATTTGCTTTTCAAAATTGGTGGAATGGACTGCCGCATATCTTTATAAGTGCACTCAGTTAAAAAAAGGTAAAAAAACAACCTGCGGTCACAAATGATATATTCCAAGGTATATAATTTCTAGGTGTTTGACTTGACAGACTGAGTGTTTTACACACATGATTACTAACACTGGCTGAAGAATATGTCTTGGTATAACACACCTAGAACGACAGGCTCGCCTCCATTTCTCCTTGAGCAAATTGTGCAGGATTCCATCAAATAAGACCAAGTGTGATACCGACTCCTACAGTAAAAAAAGCAAAATCAAATTTAAAATACATCACCTATAGAGAGCTGTCTAAACATTAAACATTAATTTTATTTACTGAAAATAATTTCTACTGGTCCAGGACTATTCTAATCATGGAGGCTTTGACATAACACTGCTATTAATAATGCTGTATTACACAGAGAGAGAAATTATCATATTTAACTACAGAGTCAAAGAGACAATTCCCAACTATATTCAATTGAATGTCAAAAGAGATCTAGGACTGCATTGGTTTTGCTTCACTTCACTCTGGTTAGTTCATAAATTAAACTAATGCCACTTTCTCAACCAGATTCAAAACTTGATTAGCACAATTTGAACTTGGTCACTTGCATTTTTTCACCCTTCAGGCAGTTTGATTGTTTTTCACTTTGAATGCGCATTGACTCCTAAAAATAGTTTTCTTTCTCCTGTCTGGCTATTGTGAGTGTGAATAATCTGCCAGCATTCAATTTTGGTGTCTATATCTGCTTGATAGACTTAATGGAGATGTCCAATGAATACAGGTCTCACCACCTAGTAAGTAAATGATCCATCTGCTACTATCCTCCACTCAGTTTTATTCAGTGTTTAGTTTCCTCATTGAATTACATACCTCATGTGTGATAAGGTTGAATGCACATTTCTCATTTATCTGCCCTTCAGTTGTCAACTGAAAAATTGAACAAACGTAATTCTTGAATTTAATCAGGTGGGTTATATCTTAGGTTAACCAGTCAACTCCCAACAACTCAAATCTTTGAGGGATTGAGAATTAGACAATTAAGTTATCATGGAAACAATTAGGGAAAAATATGATGGTGTTTGCTTTATTTCAGTCCATACAGTGTACCTTTTATTTGCTTTTAAATATTAATAGGACTCAAGTGAGTCAAGTGAATGCAAAACATTTACCAAAATAATTTGGATATATGAACAAAGTTGAAATGGTAAATTGGTCACCGTAACGATTCTGACGAAGGGCTAACGCTCGAAATGTCAGCTTTTGTAATCGTTACGGTGGCCAATTTACCATTTCAACTTTGTTGATANCGCTTGTGGAATAATTGTCAAATATTGCATTTCTAGTGTTCTGATTTGTCCACTTAACTCCAGGTAACAGTTCATATTCCAAGTCACCTTACAAGGTAATGGATTGTGCCAACTATTGTGGGGCTAATAAATCATGCCAAATACCCAAACATTTCAGACAAAATTTAATAAAACATGCAATTACTCCATTTGCACTTGTTGGACACAAGTTTGGTTATAGCCCTCTCATATCCAACATGGAATAATTTTTAAATAACGTTAAGTTGTTTATCCTTTTTTTGGGATCTTTTAAAAAGGATTTTCATGCAAACAACAGAGGAGCATTTTTATTATAGAAGACAGCCATCAAATAAACAAGGTAATCTTCATTCACAAAGTCATATAGAAGTCACTGACATAAGATTACTGATAAGATCAGTCTACTTAAAATCTATTGAAAATGATTTCAATCCTAGCTAGCCAATCAATCCCGAGACCTACATGCATGTTGACCAATTACAAGTGCTGTTTTATTGTTGCTAGGTAATTCTATTCTATATCAACCAAAAGGCAAGGGTACGGTGTAAGCTGTCATTTCAGCCAAAAATCATCACAGGGTTTTAGTTTGTAAACTAATGAGAAGGTATCATGACTATATACAATGCATATATTACAATTTGCATGTAGTTGTACTGTTAAGCAGTACTGATCATGCATATTATTCATTAAAATCATTAAAAACAAAAACATTTACCTCTTTGCGAGCCAGTTTAGCAGCAAGGGTCAGAGGCGTCAAGCCCTTGTTGTTCACAACAGTGTTGAGTGGCTTTCCACACAGACAAGCACAGTGGCATCCATAATCAAAAATTAGATCATACATATCCTGCAAATGTTCAACATTCAAATAAACTTAACACAACTATTGGGTACCAAAGAATGTGGCTTGCTTCTTAAAGGTTTTGTTTAACATAAAATCAAAATAATTTGACCAAATCTGATGACTACAAACAAAGACAGCCTAACGGTAAAATACACTAATGATCATCCATAAAGTTAGATGGGAGAGTGACATACAAACTAAGGGCTATTTTAATTCTTCAGGAGCTGCTGATTAATCAAAAATAAACACTTGAGAGAAGAGTGTTCTCCCTGCAGCAATTAAAAGTTTATTTAATGTTTGTGTCATAGAGTTGATTAAAGGGAAAGATCATCTATATCTAATATACTGTAGATTTTGTATTTCTCTGACTTGTACTTGATATTTATCTTTAAAATAATAATTACTCTTATCAAAGAATATTGGTGTTATAGACAAGAAAAAATTGGAATGCATGTACTTGCAGCACCAAAGTGCCCCATAAACTGTAATTATAGTAAGTATCCTTCGCAGTCATTTAGAGTATAATATGCGACAAGCATGTCTTGATTCTTTCCTCTTAACTAACATACTAAGTAAGACTGCAAGTTTTCCCCTCTCCATATCAAAGCTAAGAAGGAAGAAAAATTTTTTTATCATTCCCTACCTTTGATATCAATTCCCCCTTTCTGGTTATCATGCACATCTTGGTTTTTTCAAGTTTACTCTTAATAGAACATTTGTGTTGTTGTTTTTGTTACCCCATTACAAATTAGGCAAAGGCAAAGAAGACATTTTTCTAGAAGCAAGTACTTACCATCTTATTTTGAATAACCATCATATGTAGAACAGTATTGCCATTTGTGTCCTGCTTATTGGGACATGCCCCTTTAGCTAACAAATAGCGCACCATATCCTCTAAACCAAGACATGCTGCAAACGAAAGGGGATATTCCCCCCAATATGTGTTGCTTTAAGAAAAAAAAAGGTCACATCAATTTTACAACTTATCACATTTGGGTGCAAGCCAAGAATGTGTTTTGTAAGATAGATAATAGATAGATAATAACCTTTTAGACAAGGTGCGTTCTCAGAGAA